GAATGCAGTTATTTCAGTTTTCCACCAGCTATTAAGAAATAAAACCTGATTCAGAATGCTTAGAGCTACACCACCTTCCATAATTAATTCATTCTGAGGAACATTGTAGATTCAAAGTTTTGTGGACCTCCCTTTAAACTAGGTGTTAGAGCATAATTGTTTGAAAACAGGATTATAACTAAAGGTTGTGTTACTGCCAAAGGGGTGAACAACAGCTGTGTGTTAATGTCTTCAGCTGACCAGTTACAGTGAAACCATTTCATAACTTGATTTAACTTAACAAAACTGTCATAACCTCTTGTATTGTGACTAGAGATTGATTTTACATTCCAAGAGAAAAACACAAGACAAATAGACCTCCATATAAGTAATCTGGAGATACGGGAAAGTCTTTTGTATCCAAAGAACTTCTCAGCCCCAAAGGTGTGGTTTGTCATATAGAAGATAGTCTAAAGGCTTCATGGGATGGTAGGCATGGAGGGTTGGTGTGAACCTGGGTCTGGGGGTGACTAAGGCTAAAGTGAGCACAAGTGCTATATCTAGTGACAGATAGGTACTGTGCAAATTTGCCTGCCTTGTGCTGCTTGCACAACTACTTGGTGTTGGCCCACCACCCTGGGGCTTTGAGCCACCTACACGGCACTACCGGACCCATGATTATTTTAAATGCGTGGTAGTGAATGAGGTTCCCTCCCTCTCTTCCCTCCTCCCTTCTTCTCTTTCTTTTTTCCTTCTTCTTAAACAGCTCTTGAAAACTAATTTATGAATTTCTGCTGAAATGAGTCAGTTGAATATTCTTTCTTCTTCAGAGTGACTATATTAGCTGACCAGGGTAGAGCATGGAAGTCATGCTGCAGTGTTTCCGTAGGGCCTAAGGGCCAGCCTGAATTGGGCTGCTGTTAGGAAGTACGAGAGATAGCTGTCATCTTAAACTGAATTTTCTACTACTGTGTTACTGGAAATTTCTTTTATGTTGCAGCTAACTAACATGTTTCCTTGGGGCAGTTGCAGATCTTCTGTGTTGCTGTTTCCGTGTGTATTAGCCCGCTCAAAATAGTGCTTGCTATGGTTTTAGTGTGTTGGCTGATGCTTCAGTTTACAGTATGTCTGCCTATGTGTACATACATGTTTGTCCATTTTCAACAATGAGGATGAACTGCTCAGGTAATAAGGTACTGATTAGTCATCTTGAGGGCTGATTATTAAGGCTACTGGTTTATGGTCAGATCACTTTCTCCTGAGCTTGGTGAAGTAGCACCTGCTTCTAGTTCCAGCGCTTGGCAGACTGAGGCCGGAGGATGGTGAGTCTGGACTATGTAATGGTGAAAGCGTAAAGTATATAGTGGTGAGACCCAGTCTGAAAAACAGTGTAATAACAAAGAACCAAGCTACTTTTTGCTGTCATGATTTAGGCTAAAAATTGCAGTCCTGTGTTCATTTTTTTTTTTTTTAAATATAAATGACCTTTATTTTAAGAATGCAGGGAGAGGGGCTGGAGGTTTAGCTCAGCGGCATAAGCACCTGCCTTGGAAGCAGGCAGTCGTGAGTTCGATCCCCGGTACCGATAAAAACGAAAAAGCCAAAAAAAAAAAAAAAAAAGAATGCAGGGAGAGAAAGAACCCCTCCCCCCGACATTCCGGGGTCCAGCATTGTCTCCCCGGGGGTAGCGATCTCTCTCCGGGGTCTGGGAATCTCTCCCTTGTGTTCATTTTTTTAACTGTTAAAACTAAATCAGTCAGGATACCTATGGAAACAAATCAGTGAGGCCAGAGGCTGGAGTGTATTCTTTTACCTGAAGTATTTTTTTTAAATCAACTCAATTTATTACTATGTTTTGCATTGGGTATAATCTGAAAAACAGATGCCAAATGATTTTTTTTAACCTCAGTGAACTATAAAACATTTAAATTTGATTCTTAGCAATGCAGTGTTGGGTAAACTTTGTACCTTGCCCTAATTTCAGACTGTTCTCAGAAAAATGTAAATTACCCATTTTTATTTTGTAGTGAAATTTTAAAAATCAGGTTCAAAGCAGCAGTTTCATAAGTTGAACAATTATTTTGTTGCTATTTTATGTCCAGGTAGCATGTTATTCCTCATTCCAAATGACATCTGGCAGGATTTTCTTCACCTTGTTCTCTTTTTACACTTCCTAGTTAATATTCCACAGCAGCTCACTTAAGGATGTCCCTCAGAGGTTGAACAGCTTCTATGGAATAACCAGGGAAGTGGTCATTTGATTCTATTATTCAGGGCTTTATTTATGGATCAGTTGTTGATGCGTAGAAAGGTGGGCAGTGACTTTCATTACCATTTCGCCTTATTTGGGATTCTAGGATGAACGGATGTCACCTAAGGAACTGGAAGAGGTTTCTTGCTCATTTAATCGTTTAGGACCAGTATAATACATGAAAGATTTGGCATCCTAGAATTTCCTTCCTTCTGTTTGTTGCTCCTTTTAGATTGTTAAACATCATTTGTTAATACCTTAGAGAATGGTTCGTAGTTTAGCAGATGTGTCACCATTTTGTAAAAATCCCCCCCAACCTTTGGGGCAGATCTGAGAAAAGTATTAAGATGGGGATTTGGGACTTCTATTATTTGTTGATTCAGTGAAAAGCAATTGGAAATTAAGAGTTGGTTAGAACTTTTTCCCGAAAGAAGAAATTTTTTAACCGTGTACGTTTGTGATGTATCATTCAGATCTGTGTATATTTTCTGTTCTTAGAAGTAGCTGGTCCAAGGTGATGCTAAAAGATTTTTTTTTTTTTTTTTTCCTGTTCTCTTAGCAGGAGGAGCAATCTCAGAACTGTTATGAAGGCCTTGAAGCTCTTCGTTCTTCCCCACTATGCCATCGGGTGGTCTGTGGACAATGTGGTCAGTCTTTTGAGATTGACTTTAATTTAAAACAAAGGCCTCTGCCTCCCACCCAGGAGGTGGGAGGAGTGAATTTTAGGATTGAATGAAGAAGTCAATTATGAAAGAAATGCATATGTCCCTGATCTTCCCTTTCAAGCATAAGTCCAAATAGGCTCTCAGGAATGAGGATTTGTAAAGACATCAAATAGGAGATTGACTCATTTATACTTTAACACTTGGTTTTGTTGCTGGCGAAAAGATACCTGTATTTGCTCATCCAGTGCTTGTACCCAGCATCATTTTGACATGTCATTTCCTATCTCCTGTTTGCCTTCTCTGCTCGATGCATGTCCTCAAGTGACTTGTTCTACTCTCAGATTTTGCTACCAGTGTCCTAGGAAAATGTCTGTTGCATATTCTCTTTCTTTGATTTTTAAACTTACCTTCACTCAGATAGCTCCTGTCTCTCCCAGATAGTTCCATACTGTATAAAAAGGTGGGCAGAAAAAGGTGCTTGAAAGATTTCAAATATGCAGAAGAAGAAAAGAAGGCTCCCTCTTCCTGTCATACTACGTTTTGCTCAACAAGCTGGACTATAAGAGATTTCAGAGATTTTCCTTGCATTGCATGTTTTCTTCCAGTATTGATTCGGTCTCATTAATCATGGTTTTTGAAGATAACTAGTTTTATCCAACTCTAGCAAAGTATCATCAGCAGTTTTTATGACTTTACTGTGCTGATTTCTAGAGTTGGAAACAAAGCAAGGTGTTTCTCAATGAGTTTCTTTTTCATTGGGCTGGGGGAACTTGTGCAAGGACTAAAATACCCCCACAATCAAAGCACGAACAAAGTTTGAATCAAAGATCAAGGTAAAATTTTTATCGTTGCCTGTGGAAACCTGTCCCCATCAGTCACTAAGCTTTCTGTCCTGTGTCCATGCTCTTTTGTCTTACTATATTTTCAGTCACTTCCTTTCTGTGAAAGGTTGCTTAGCTTTTATCTTTTCTTTTTTTGTTTTTGCTGTTCTTTAAATAAAAAAGTAGCAGATTGGATGGATGTGTGCATTAGGTGTTTGAAATTTTCTAAAAATCCAGAGTCAGGAAACCAGCTGTGGAAAGGGCTTCATAGCCTCCCTGAGTAGTTTTCAGCTGATCAAAAGTGCTTATCTTGGATTATCATTTTCTCAGTAATTTTAAAGAGGAATTTCGGTGCTGTGTTTATTGTGTAATCTATCAGTTGGTAGATGCTCCTTTCGGTAGCCAAACATGTTGATTGCTTTTTAGATTGTAGGCTAGAAATCAAAGTAGAATACATCAGGGAGAGCCTCTTGTCCCAGACCATCTTTTCATAACACACTTGCGCACACACACAATCGGATGCTGGAGAAAGCTCTCCCAGGAGTCAGTTGCATAACCCATTCTTAGTTGCCACTGCAGCCGCCTCAGCAGTCATTTTGTGAATTTCGTGTAAGTTAGACCAGTGGCTGAGGTCGGTAGATGGCTCTCTACATGTGTTTCTGTTTTGCAGACACTATTCCCACTGCAGTCTTTGGCACCGCACACCACAGTCACAGGCAGCTGTGACATACAGGGTTTCTGCCTCACTGCTGTGTGGGAAGGAGCTGGTTTCTTCCACTGTACGTTTGACTGTTCGTGCTATGTCCAGCTCCTCAACTGGCTACTGAAAAAATCAGTGTAAACCCTGTCAGATTCTCTCTGGCAGCAGCTCCTGATATTTATGCTCTGGGAATGTTTTTTTCTGTTCCTAAAGCCTCTGTCTCCTCATTTCTTCATTTGTGTAATATATGTATATTCTCTTTTTCACCTTCCTCATTTCCCCAGCTGCCATTTTGTTTTTTTAAATGTTCTGTAGTTTTGTACAAGAAGAGACTTAGCCTTGGGTATTTCTTGCTGAAGCTTTAATGCTTTGTAAATAAAATCGGATGTTTATTAAAAGAACAGTGTAGATGTTTGTTTGTAAACAGTGGTCACTTCTGGAACCCACCAGCCATAGAAAATGCAGCTTATTGAAATGACATTAGATCTGTCTTTGTGGGGATGCAGAACTGAAAGGGGGGAGAAGGTGGTCAGCGTGTCTAGATGTCTGCCTCTAACTGCATTATAAGTAAATTATTTGTCCCAAAAGTTGGTGTTAATCAAAAGATTATCTAGGAATGATGTGTCTTCAGATTCTAATTAAAGACTATAGTGCAGGGGATTCCAGAGGTTACGAAAATGCCTGTCAGGAGCATCGTTATTCATCTAAAAACAGTAAAAACTGGTCTATTATTTTCTAGATTGAATTAGCTTTAAAGACCATTGACTGCTCATTGTCTCCTAAAGAATAAGGTACTTCACAAAGTTTATTGATTGGATTTTAACCTTTAGTGCTGAAAGTGTGTCTGCTTACTAATTTTTTGTCCCATGACTGAGAACCCATCTTTGACATCATAGCTGTTTCTTAGCAACCTCACCGACTTAAGCAGACAGCCTTCTCTGTTTTGTAGGGTAGAGAGTGCAGGCTAAGAGTCAGGTGTACTGTACCTCCTCCCACTGAGCAGATGTCTTTGGTCCCCCTGGGAGAGAATATTTGCAGCAGGGAGAGGAGCTGCCTCTGATGTAGCCTCTCGCTAATCTGAGTGGGTGTCATGGCCCTTGTCTTGTGAATTTGCACTTCTTTTTAAAATTCCTTACACACAGTGTTTGACACCTTATAAAGTGTTTTCATGTGCACTATATCATTTGATGCCCCAGGTGACCTTCCTAAAAAATGCAAGGTCTTCACTTACAAAGGAAGAAATAGAAATTCAACAAGTCACTTATCTTCCAGTGTACAATTAATCATTTTTATAGAAGTGTAGAAACACTGTTTTTTTGTACTGCAGTGTTTTCTTACTTGGTCAGATTTAACTCGGAATTTTGAAACTATTATGATGCCACAATTGAGAGGGAAGGGAAAAGGGTAAGGAAGAGTGTGACCTATGTGTTTGGGCTAATTTGGAGTCATTTCTGCTTTTGAAGTCTTTTCACCCTTTTTCTCTCAAGAGGTGGCTTCAAATTCGTTAGGAGCCTGTGAAAAGAATATAGATAGTAAAAGGATGCTTTTTGCTTTCTACTGCCCTTTTTTCCCCCTGCCTCGGGGCCTTACTTGTAACAACTTGAACTTCCCTGTGCGTAGTAATTTTTAGTGTACTCGGGAGCATTGTTATTGATGACGTGCACATCGCTTTATGTTAGAGGAAGTAAGCAATGACAGTGGAGGACTGAGCACAAATACCTGGAAGGTGCTGGCCAAAGTGGTGCCTTGCCCACTAGATATGAAGGCTTTGATCGGGAGTTACATCATAGGAAACTTGGTGCTGTCTGTCTACCTGCCTTTCGTCACTGCTTCACCTAAAACTCTGGCCATCCCTAAGAAGCTACAAGAAGCTATGGGGAAAGTTATTGTCAATGCCACAGCCTGTACTGTCACCTGCGGCCTTGGCTATAAGGAGGAGACCACCTGCATGGTGGGCCCCGATGGGGTGAGGAGGAATTGTACATCCCAGCGCTTGGAGTGTCTGACCAATTGGATCTGTGGAATGCTGCATTTCACTGTTCTTGTTGGGAAAGAGTTTGAGCTTAGCTGTCTCAGCTCGGACATCCTGGAAATCGGGAAGGAGGCATTCCGCTTCACCTGGAGGCTTGCTCGGGGTATCATCTCAACGAACGATGAAGTTTTCAAACCCTTCCGAGCCAACTCCCATTTGGTGAGGTTCAGACCTGCTCGGGAGTCTGACTCCGGGACATATTGCTGTGATGTGCAGCTGCTCAAAAACTTGAGACTGGTCAAGAGACTGTACTTTGGACTGAGAGTACTTCCTCCAAACCTGGTGAACCTGAATTTCTATCAGTCCCTTACCGAGGAGCAAAAATTAGTTAATGAGGGCTTGGAAGTTAATTTGGACAACTATTCCAAGCCTCACCGCCCCAAGTGGCAAAAGAAAGTGGCATCGGCCATGGGGGTAGGAATAGTAGGTGGAGTAATTGGTGGTGTGTTGGTGAGCATTGCCCTCTGCAGGGTGCTGAGGGAGAAGCACAGCAACGACATCCTCAAGAGCTTCCAATCCTTGTTCCCGAGGGACCGGCTGCCTGATGGTGGATTGGTCAAAAGACCACACGAGGATCAGGGAGGAGTAGCCTCACAGTAGCCTGGCAACAGTCTCCAGCTTCTTTGTGTCCTGGATGGAGCTCTTCCTGATTTCTCTACTGCCAGGTGCCCCAGAGTGGCCTGCTTCCTGGGAAGAGAATTGTCTTTTAAGCTTGTATTCATCTCCTACCCCTTTTAACTTGTGTTCCTCCCATCTCCATTTCATTCTTCTGGGCAATATATTCATATAGAAGGATGTAAGAATAGCTTTTCTAGTGAAAACTTATTTTTCTCTCTTCAATAAAAATGATTCACAATAGCAATGTGGAAACCCAACTTTTTAATTTTCTTGCTCTTTATCTTACGACCTCTTGTATTTGTTTATACTGTCCCATACCCAGTCAGGCTTTCATTTTCCTTGGGTTTCTTAGACTAGACATTGGGGATTGTCTGCTGTGTGCAAGGCCTGTGCCCATATCTGGTAGAGGCTGTTATTTAGACACCTGACTCAGGTGTGTAATTTGCCAGTCACTGGATGTGAATGAATTGTTTGCCTTCCCTGTCCTCCCCAGGCGAATCCTCTCTGTTCACTTGGCATAACATAGGGCCCTTCACCAAGTCATGAAACAGTCCACTGGCTGGCTTGCTACTCGTTTTCTTCTCACCCCTTCAGTGCTCTGAAGTTTGTTTGCCTGGGAAGGTCAAGTGTACTGGTTCCCTATAGCAGCCAAGGCCCCCAAGGAGGACTAGGTCCTTCATTCCTCTGCGGGCAATCCTGTCCTAAGACCTTGGCAGCCGTTCAGACTGTGTCTAAATAATTGGCTTATGGAGTCATAGGGGGAAAGCTCTTGGCCGCTAGCAGAGCTAATTCTGCTGAGAGTGACAGTATTTCTTCCTTGCCTCTCTCCTGCTCAGGTGGGACAACAGAAACCAAAGACCAGGGGTTCTCTTCTGCAGCCTTGTGTCCAGATCATCCGGGTGACTTGTAGAAAACCAGATTCCTGGGCCCCTGCCCTGAAGATGCCAGTTCAGTTTCCATTGTGGTCCAGGGAATTCTGTTGTTCTCTTTTAACTTTAAAAAGTTTCAAACCCAGAGAAAAGTTGAAAGTCTGATGAATACCCATAGACTCGTTTTTAAGATCCCTTTGTAATTTTTTTCAGTTGTCTTTCTAAATATACATTGATTTTGCTGCATCATTGAAAGCTAGTCACAGACATTGTGATCTTTAGTGTTTTGTTTTTTTTTTTCCCAGTGTCAAGAATTGAACCCAGGGCTTTTGTACTAAGTAAAATCCTCAGGTCTTTTTACTTACTTTTATCATTGTTTTTTTGTTTTTTGTTTTTGTTGTCTCACTAAGTCTCCCAGGCTGGGCTTGAATTTGGACTCCTGAATCAGCCTCCCATCACATATCTAACACTGTCCTAATAGGAATGTTCTATGCAACAGGACCTTTTATCACAGCTAAAACATGAGCAACTCCAAATTTTTTTTTCTGTAACTATATGTAAAAGAAGTTTGGTAAGGATTTCCCCAAATTTAACAATTCAAAAAAATGTACATTGCATTACTATCAATGGTCTTCCATAAGACATTATTCTGAATCGTCTACACTGCAAAACCATCCTTAAGAGCTCTGTTGAAGCACAGACTGGATTTTTTTTTTTTTTTTTGGTCTTTTTTCATTTTTATCGGTACCAGGGATTGAACTCACAACTGCCTGCTTGTAAGGTAGGCGCTTATGCCGCTGAGCTAAATCCCCAGCCCCTAATTTTTAAAAATTCTATTACCATCTTAGAAAATGATACATTAAACCAACATTCGAAGAGGTGCTCAAAGATACATAGTTTAAAAACATTCAAAAGCAAATTATTATTGAAACATTAGGCAGTTAAATAGTAGAATGGGTATTTACATTTTTCCCTCTGCAAGTAGTAATGAATTTTTAAACTATTGTGATTTATTTTCTCATTTTAAGTATTTACTTTCATACCCATTTTAAAAATTCTTTTTCTTAATGAGACATCCCAAACTGTACTACCTTGAGGCCTACCCTTTGCTATGTGTTTGATCTGAAAGAGGCTGTCAGATAATATTTTTGTTTTTGCTGGGCCAGGCATGGATTTTGCCTCTGTCGATTGGGCAAAAGGCAAATGTTTGCATCTTCTGAGATCCTCTCTTCGGGTCAAGTGAGCTGGCAGAATACCTCCAACTGTGTCATTAGCAGCCTCAGGCAAGAGCTTTTCCTCAATAAACAATGCTGTGAACTATAATCCAACATCTTGTCTTGTTAGAACATTGCTTTCTGTGCTGCCCGACTTGGGCAACTCCAGATCTTACATAGAGCTTATATCCAGTTTCACCAGTTTACAAACTTTTATAGCTTGCTTATTGGCAGTACTACAGAGCCTTCATACTGAGTTAAATTAGCAGTCTCTTTCTATTTTCATTGATTGATTAATTGATTGACAGCCTAAATAGCTAAGTTACCCAGGCTGGCCCTAAACTTGTGGCCCTCTTGCCTCAGGCTACCTGAGTGCTGGGATTACAGGTGTTCATCACCCTGTCCAACTTGATTTAATTCTTGATCCAAGATGAAAAAAAAGTTCATATATTACCTTCAGTTTTCCCCTTTAACTCTTATTTTCAACAGACTGTTTGCGTTCTGTTTACTTGTCACAACTTTGTTTTGTTGAAGCATCTGATTAGTCTGGTTGTCTTGAATGAATGGTGTCCTACAATCTAGATCTGTCATTTCCTCACAATTAGATTTCTGAGAAGTGAATCACAAGCATCTAGCCCTACCTACATCTACACTGCCCTATCAGAAAGCATATAATATTCGATGGACCCATTATTGATGATATGCTATATATAGAGAGATCATGAGTTCAAAGCATCTTTGTCTTTTGAAAGTTTTAGAGGTAGCTCTGATACCTAGCTACAGTTGCAAACCAAAAGCTTAGGCCTACGCATAGAGTTGTCTTTAATATGTTACTTTGAAAAGATCTTAAACTTTACATACTCTTGTCCCCCGCTCTGTCTACCCCAGAGGGGATAGGTTTCAGAATTCCTGAGTCTGAAGGCCTCATTGTGGAAACAAGTGATTGTGAGGGCCAGTGAGACCCTGGGAAGAAAACAGCTTTCTAAACATCACACTGGTGTGTGTCTGGGCCTCGGGCTGAACAGGCCCTGCAGGACACTAAGCACTGAGCAGAGGCTCTGCTCCCCTCTGCTCTTCCTCTGAAATCCTGCGGGAGCTAGACTGATGCCCCAGCCACTGTGCACTGAAACATCAAGCCCAGGGCTTCCCGAGTTCATCCCTGCGGTGCTTCACCTGGCATGGAAGCTTGGCGAAAGGTGCTGCATGTGTGAAAGCATCCAGACTAGAAACAGCAGTGATCCCAGCGCTTTGGCCACACAGGCAAGATACGAATTCTCACCAGCGGGGGTTACTGATCATCTAGGTTGAGAAGAGCTCCTCTGGGACCACTGAGTCAACACCAAACACCTTAAGACCTGGGAACATTGAAGCAGGTTTTTTTTTTTTTTTTTTTGTCTTTTTGAGACAGTGTCTCTCTATGCAGTTCAGACTGGCCTGGAGCTCACTTTGTAGCGTAGGATGGTTTCAAACTCCCAATGGTCCTCCTGCCTCAGCTTCCCGAGTGCTGGGATTCTAGGCATGAGCCACCACACCCAGCTACTGAAGCAGTTCTATGAGTAGAATTGTTTGCTGGCACTGCATTAAGTAAAGGCTGCCCAGCCTAGCAGAGTGCATGCTGTGCTCTGTGACCTGCCTGGGTCTGCTGACCTAATGAACCTCCCCACCTACCCCCAGCCTCCCAGGCCAAGTGCCGCAATGTGCAGTGTGTGCTGTAGCTTCATGTGACGGGACCATGGGAAGGGGGAAGCATTAGTTAGAAGGTCACAGAGCAGCACGAGGAGGTGCCCTTCAGCGCAGGTAAGAAAACAACTGCTGGCAGCCACCTCAAGCAAGTTGAGAAACTAACTTTATTTAAGAACTGCCAGAGTCAGTACATAGCTACCATTATAAGAAGTACAAGAGCAAAATCAGGCCAGTGAGGTGGCTCCCTCTGAACAGAATCCTTCGTCAGTGATCTGCAAAGGCTTAGCTTTTGCCACACCCTGAGCTCTGAGCTGTGCAGGTCTCCGTGTGGGTGGTGAGCTGGCATCTTGGGCTGTGATAGGATGGGTCCCATCGAAGGACACAAAATGCCTTAGGCCTCTGAGGCTCCCAGGACTGTGGGCAAAGCCATCTGACCCTTCTTATTCCTCTTTAGTTGTCCTTATACCCTGCCTTCCCAAAGCCTGTGGCCATACATATGAGTCTGTGGGGCACCTGCACCCCAGCAGAGGCCTGTTTCTGCAGAACTTTTGAAGTCCCTTTGGAAAATACCCTCTCATCCCTCTTAGTCCTCTTTGACCCAGGTTCAGCCAAGCTAGGGAAATGGCAGCACACCTGTGCTGGTGACAGATGTGAGGGTACTGCTGTCCCCTCTAAGAGACAGGACCCCCACTGGCAGTCTCAGTTCGACAGAGGGAAGAGAAGGGAGAGTCAGACATCCTCAGCCCCCTTAGCTTTCTGGCTCTTGCCCTGAGTCAGATGGATGGCTCTTGGGACTGCCCAGGGGCAGTGCCCACTGGGGAAGGCACTGGGTGGTAACCCCAATCCCTGGGGTGAGCCTTCCCCCTTATGGCTTCCTCTAAGGTGCAGGGACCATAGCAGATGGCTTCTCCAAGATTTCCTGTGTTCAACACTCAATTCTAAGAATCTCCCCCCACTCACTTCACAACTTCATGTGGTCCAGACCCTGAAGGTGCCTAGACAAGAGACCTGTGAACTCATTCCAGGGTCTCATTGCAGAAGCTTTCCCTGGTATCTAATTCCTGGCTCTCATATTATCAAATAAAGATAGGTCTCCTCCCCTGCCCCTATGGCCTGCCACTTCCTGGCACCATGTGTGTTAGTCCTGCTGTGAATGAAAGTAGAAACAACCTGGAAGGCCTGGAGACTCCTGGAGAGAGTTGTCCTGCCCTACACCACAAGAACACAATAGCCAATCTTGGAGTAGCACCAGTGTGTACAGATGGGCACTGGTCTCCCTGGCCCCTGAACCAGTGCCTGCTAGCTGACTGTCCCATCTTCCGGCATTCAATGGCCAGTTGGCTCTTGGGCAGAGTACTCATCTGTGGTTTTCTCCCTTGTTGCCGCCTCTGGGGCTTGGTAGGGAGAATCTGGGACTGAGTCATGACTCCAGGAACAGGGGCTGAACCTCCCTCAGCTGTCCCAGCCCATCTCAGCAGAGAAGACAAATCAGTAGACCCTCAGGCAGGAAGAGACACTGAGACGCCATAAAGTTTGCTCCTTCAAGCAAGCACATGTACAAACCACCCCAGCAAGATGTTTTGCAAGCGTGCATGTCAAGTCACCTACTGTCTTATCAAACCTATCTGGATCTTGGGCTGCAGGATCATCTGCCTTTAGTAGAGCTCTACATTCCCAAACAAATTCTACCTGCACAATGGTCAGTTTCTTGCTTTAAATGTGTACCCTGGGTCTCCCAGCAGATCCACCTTCCTCTTCCTCATGGACCTCATTAGAAGGAGGTACTTGGCTGTAGCTTTTCAAGCAAGCTTAGGTCCTGTGCCAAGCCAGATCCTCCCCCAGTCCGGCAGCTAGATACCTGTGCCCTGCCTGGCTGCGAAGCTGGAGTGAGGAGAGAATCACAGAATTTAGAAGCTTTCTTTCTTTCACTGTCCCCTTTCTGATAGCTGGGCACAAGTCAGATCCCAGGCAGCGGGGGACAGAGAGATGCTAGGCTGTCTGGAGTCCCTGCAAGGGAGAATGGCCAGAAACCTAACCCTGGCACCTCATATTGGGGTGGAGTGTGGGTAGGGAGCCCAGGGAGGGTGGGGTTGGGAGTAGAGGGAAAGGTATGTGAGCTTACATTTTTAAAAAATTGTGGTGGGTGAACATCAACATAAACCTGCCCAAGAAAATGCAGCAGGGTTTAGAAGTTTAAAAACCATAACAAAATAGAGCTCTAACTGTAAACTACAAGACAGGCTCAGGGTGCCTTATGGGGCAGATGCCCTTCCAGATGCCTGTTCCATTGCTCCCCGAACACCAGTAGCCTGCTGTCACAGTGCAGGCTTTGGGGATTCTGGTTGTACTGTCACTGTGGCCTCCATCTGGGTACTCTGTCCTTGCTTTAGCCTCTTTCTGCAGCAAGAGCGAGGGAGTTCACAGCACAGCATTTTGAGTTCCCACCAGAGGCTAGGCCTAGAAGGCAGAGAGTGCCTGGATGTCTCCAGGAATCTGCTGCACTAGAAGCTGGCTGGGCCAGGCTGATAGGCTCGGTCACCAAGCTTAAACCCAAGAGGATGCTCATGCCCCTGTGACCTCAGCCGTCTTCCCAGCCATGCTGAGGCCATGTCGGCTCTGCCTCCTTCCTCTGCCTACACACAGCCTTGAACAGCCAGCTAGGAGATGGTTCTTCCCCCAGCCATGCCGCTTATAGGCCGTGTGATCTGGAGGAGTCCCTGACCCTCGGTGGCCCTCCATTTCATCATCTGTGACATGCAGGCTGTGGACCTTTATTAGCCCCAGTGGTCTTCTGACTGGCAGTGCACCCTGAGAAGGTAGGCTGTCCCTTTATTAACCCCTTTTCTTCTGGGAATGCGGAAGAGTAGTTCAGGTAGTCTGGGTCTCGTCAGGTGATCCGGAGAACTCCTGGGAGCAGGGAGGCCTGTGTTGTTCTTTGCCCTCTCAGGAGCCTCCCTACCTCAGGATGAGGAAGGACAGTGTGTGTTGCACGGTGGCCAGCAGCTGGGCCTGCAGGTGGGGGAGGTGGAGGCAGAGCTGGAGGAAGGAGGGTGCTATGCAGGATGGATCTTGGTGGGAGGCTCCCCAAGACAAGCCCTTTAGTCACCCAGCCACCTGAAGTGGCTCTGTCACCCTTGGGGTAACAGGGTTGGGTTGGCAGTGTTGGCTGGGAGGGCAGTGTCACCTGGATGGTGACCAAGCCTCAGGCCTGGGCAGGTGCCCCTTTCTACCAGGGGTCCCAGCCTCTCAACACTTTGCAGCTCCCACCTGCAGCAGCCTGGAGTCTTATCCCCTTACCCCAAAGAATCTTGGCCTCCTGACTGTGGGCATCAGAGCCCTGGATCTTAATCACCAGGGCAGGCAGGGCTGCTCGCTGTCATGGATGGCAATGACAGGTCCCATCATGCTGCTCCCTGGGGAACCAGCAGAAGCTATGGTCCCAGGGTTTGCCCTCTCCTTAGTGGAGGGATATTGATACTTTGTCCTGCTTCTTTAGCCTGGTCCTCGTCTCAGGACTCTACTGTCAGGTGGCAGAGCCACATGTGGTCTCAGAGTACCATTTCCACTGATTTGAAGAGGCATATTACAACCCCTTTGCCCAATAGGCCTGTTCCTTCCATCCAGGACCCCAAGGGGCCCAGGCATTGGGCTGAGCATCATCATGGAAGTCACTGCCCAGTGCCTCAATTTAAAGAAAATATCCTTGCGTGGTCCTGTCCTGTGGCAGAATATGAAATATCCTGCTTCCAACAAAAGGGTACTATTTAAAGCAGGCGTTTCAAACCCCTTCTCTACACAGCATTGGGCCATCTTGGCATCAGGAAGGGGCCAGGGCCAGCTGGCTGTGTCCATGGGAGGGGGATGTCTGGCTGCGGTGCAGAGGGAGGGGTTCTGAGATCAGAGCTCCAGGTAGCCTATGAAGATGAACATCACCACGGAGTGGGAGAAGATGGTATTGGGATGTGGGGCCGGGCAGCCTGCTGCGTTCTCCACCATCATGCTTGTGCCTGAAACCAGCAGCAGGAATGGGGGGCTGAGTCAGTTGCAGCCTGGTGCCATCCCAGCCCTGCCCTCAAGACAGGATCCATACCTTTCCTAAGACTAGACACCAGGTGCCAGCCTAGGAGCATGGAGGCACCCCTCAACTTTACGCCTACAGCATTGGCTAGGGCCTAGCCTGGTCTGCAAGTCTCAAACTGAACCCAACTCAAGAGGTGGCCTCACTTTCCTGGCCCACAAGGAGATAGGGAAAAGGTCAGTAGGATGGGTAAGTCTGGGTCAGCACACTACTTTGGTTCCTGCTTGCCTTCTTTCCCTTTGGGCTGGAATTGTCTTGGGTGGCCTGGTTGCACACTCATACCCCTGGGATAAGGCTGGGAAGAGTCAGCACCTCCATTCCTCACGATGTGGACTTCTGCTGGGATCCCATCCCCTCCAGGCCCTGTGGTCCGAATCTGTACCAGAGCATGGCCAATGTCTTCCAGCGTGGGGATTTCTATCCAGTTCTTGCTGGTGAGGTGCAGCGTGGGAGTCGGGTGTAAGTCATTCTGGTACAGCATCTGTGGAGAGATGTTCCTTACAGCAGGGAGGGGCCTCCACCTTGCTTAGCTCTGATCCCTAGGAAGAGCTTACTAAGTTCTGGTCTTCACAGCCCTGCCCGCCACCCTTCCTTTGGTTTGGCAGACTCCTGACACTGAAAGGACTTGCCCCAGTCCATTAGTGCTCCCTCACTCCATTTTATCTTTCCACAGGGACCCCGTTATGGTTTCTGGATGTCCCCTCAAAGCCTCATGCAGTCATGGGCAGTGGGCTCTTCCAAGATGGCTGGATCTAAAGTTTGTGATTGATTCTCAATCTGATGCTGGGACTAAGGGTATGAGTGCTGCACCTGGGGTAGGCGGCCTGCATACAATACAAGGGACAGAATGAGGCTCATTTCCTCTTCATTCCTGTTGTTTTGGCCATGAACCATTGCCCCTCTGCCACGCCACCCTGCCTTGGAGCCAGAAAATTATAGATTGAAACCTCTACAAACTGTGAGCTAAATAAATGTTTCTCCTTTTAATTTTGGGTGTCAGGTATTTTGTCTTAGCAACAAGAAAAGTAACCAAGACATATGCCATCTGCCCATTTTTATAGTTTCTCCTCCAAGCCACCGTCTTCACTTTGGCCTCATGCAGATCCCTCTCTGAATTGCAGCTCTGCTGTCTCTCACCTTATAGCCAGTGACCGCAGACTCATTTCGCAGAGCGACCACAGGGTCCCACTGGATGGTGAGACTGGAGCTTGAGAAAGTCCAGGAGATGTTGCTGGGAGGTCGCCGAGGGGCTGCAAGGGAGGAAAGGTCGAGGAGCCTTCCACACCATTCCTTGGGCCCCCCTCCCCTTAGCCAGCCCTTCTTGAGCCTCTGCCTACAGCAGCTTCACTCAGAACATTCTGTCACCACTGCCTGGGAAAATCAAGCCCATGAAAACACAGAGCTGGAGGAGAGAGAGGCCATGAATTCTATCCCCCCCTTTTTTAGTCAGCTCATAGCCTTGCTTTTGCTCAGTCCAGAGCTGTGGGCTACAGCATGTGTCTCATCCTTGACCGAAGTGGGATCCTGGAGAACCCTCATCACCTCTCACACACAGACTCACGGGGCTTCATGGTGGTTGCATTGGTGGAAGGGCTGGCGGGCCCAGTGCCTGCCCGGTTGTAGGCCCGCACGGTCACATGGTACTTGGTGTTGGGTTGCAGACTGGTGACACAGGCAACAGTCTCCAGCCCTGCTGTCCTCACTCGGTCAGCAGCTGCTTCTTTGTCCCCAGCTTTCCAGTATCGGATCTGAGGGGGACAGAGGTGCCCTAAAGCCAGTGCCAAGGCTAGGTTCCAGCGCTGCCCTTCCCCCAGTCCCATTCAGTCCCTTTTTCTGTTCACTGGAGTCCTACGACTCCATCCTGGTTCTCAGAACCTGAATGCTAGAGCATGAGCACCCAGAGAGCTGGGCCACATGGGTGTGAGTCCCCAGGACTGGCAGTCTAGAAGGGCACCCAGTCTCAGAATATTGCACAAGACATGGGCAGGTGGGTGGATGATCAGGGTGGGCCCAGCCTCAGCCTAGTTGTGGCCTTCTGGAGCCCAGTGCATCACATTAATCAGGCTGGTGATGGAGGAGATTCTGCTATGGATATGAAATGCATATTTGCACTTGTAGGGTAGCACCCTCACCCCTAGTAAGCTTCTAATGACTGACCAATAAATGCAAACCTATTTTAATAGTAGTTGTAATACTAACACCTCTTCCAGATCAAGGCAGAGTTTGGAGTTATCTTTTCCCTGTGGTTGCGGAGCCGTACAAAGTCTGAGCTGATTCTGCTGCTGGGTATCTACACCTTTACTTGGAGACCCAACACCAAGTTCTCACTCAGGCAAGGATGCTCCTAGCTTTCCTCCTTTCCTGACCCAATCCGTGGCAGCTCTACAGTCAGGAGCGGGCACAGGGCTCAGGCCAGACCTGCTGGGCCTAGAGTTCCCCAGGAGCAGGCTGATCAGGGGTACACAGGATCGTGCTGTCTTCTGCACAGCCTGGAGATGCCAGGCTGGGTGGGCCCTGGCATGAAAGGAGCAGGCTGTGGCCCTTCCCAGGCCCACTTCTCCCAGGCCCCCTAGCTCCCAGCACTGTCTCTGCCAGGCATTTCCTTGCAGGCTGTCTGCACATCTGTCCTCCCTGGGGGTGTCAGCCAGGGAGTCCTCGAGACATCTGTGTCCATAGTGCTGCAGACTGGATGCACAGTTTGCCTGGGTGATTCCTGGAGGGATGACCAGGCCCCAACTTGTGCTCACCTCATATCCCAGGAGGATCCCATTCACGTCCTGTTGCACAGGTTCCCAAGTCACGTTCATCTCTGAAGATGAGACTCCCTTGGCCCAGACCTTGGCAGGGGCCACCCTGGGCTCTGGGGATCAATACAGAATGGGTTTGCATTCCCTGGGGCAGCCCTGTGTCTCACGTTGCCCCAGCCAGGACTGCACATGCTTAGAATTCAGGAGGAGAGCCCTGAGGGAAGACAAGGTAGCCCCAGAAGTGAGGCCACTGCTGCTCCTGCACAGAGTTGGTGCACATGTAGCACCCCCACCCTCCACCTCCGCAGACAAGTGGCTGGGCTCAAGAGTGGCCTGGATGCCCACCTTCCTCGGCAGAGTACACGATCGCCGTGAGGCTCTCAGGTCCATCCCCGCGCTGGTTGTAGCTGCGGATCTTGACCTCAAAGGGTGTGTAGGGCTGGATGCTCTCGTTGCTGTAGACGAAGTACTGGGCGTCGGCGCCAGGCACTCGGGCGGTCTGCCAGCCGCTGCTGCCCTGCCTGCGGAAGGACAGCAGGTAGCCGAAGCCGTCTCCATTCTGGTACTCCCGTGACATGGGCTGAGGGCAAGAGCGTGGCATGGGCGAGGGGTTGCAGGCACTTTCCCTGCCCATCCTCTGGCTCCACCCAACCTTTACGAAGAGGGGCAGCCCAGGATGCCTGTGCCCACTGTGGTTTCAGCCTAGCCTGCAGTGGATTCAGGGAGATTGCAGCAAAACAAAGGGGAAGGGGATACTTTAAGTGAGAGCGATGTGGTAGTACTTTCTGCACAATGATCAGATGGAGCACGAGTCGTGTAGGGAAGAGGAGGGAAACAAGGCAGGTCCCCCATGATGCGAAGGCACATTTCTGCTTCTGACCCTGCCAGCTTACAGTCCAATTGACGATGAGCTCTCCAGGGGCTCCACCTCCTCCGCTGAGTCCTGAGGGTGCCACTGAAGGGACTGTCAGGGGCCAAGGGACATAAATGTGGCTTGTTAGCGGAGAGCAGGCAAACAAAAGCCCTGAGCCTGTGGCTACAGAGCACCCCAGGGTGAGGCACTGGGCAGGTGCAACCTAGTTTTGCATGGACCTTGGGGTCAGACCTGAGATCATATCCCATCTCTGCCATTTACAAGCTGCGTCTCCTTGGTGGTATAACCTAACCTCTCCACAGCCTGCTTCTCCTCCCTGTAAGATGAAGATTATGCTTCTCTAAAGGCTGTCATGAGAATGAAGCTGACCGAGAGAACTGCGTACATACAGTAGGTGCTGCATAAATGATGGTTTTGTTGGCTTAAACTGAAACACTGAAACCAGCTCTAGTTTGCTTTGAACTATAGTTGACAGAAAAAACAAAACAAAACAAAACAACCCCACCCAAATAACAAAACAATAACCCCACTGCTTTTGGGCTCCCAGTGTGTTTAATTACTGTTTTTCTTTTTGAGGAAGATTTTATTTTCTAATTGTCTCTAGTATAAACAACTCTGTATTTCTGTATTAAAACAAGGGTATATTTTTCAGTTCCTGCAGCTTGGCAGAAAGTAGGTTGGCTGGGGCTCTAAATGTTCTTGCAGAAATGTTACTGGGTTCAGGTGATAACACCTTCGGGCCTTGTACTTTGCAAGAGTCACTTAAACTCGATGCCATTTGCCCCCGTGAGATGGGCATCATTAGCAGCCTCACCTGTGCTCATGATGTGTGGCCCAGCTAGACTTTAAAGCCCATCAGGGTTCCTGGGGTTCCTGGGATGCTAGAATAATGGAAGCCCCTTTTCTCCAAATTCTTCAGGGTCAAGGAGAGTGCCCTGTCTGAAATTTCCTACTTAGGAGAGGGATGAGTTTAAAATGTCCAGTGAATCCAGAAAGAGGCTGGAGGCCATCCTGGAGCATGGGGAAGCATGGCAGAGGGTGACATGAGGACCATGCCTCACATGTCCGTGCTGAGGCCTGGGCAGGCAGGAGCAGGCAGCAGGGTCTAACCCCTGGCTGTGGCCCTAGGCTTTCCGCTCTCACAGTCTGTGCCTGCTCCTCCTCCTGAGTCTCACCCCTATGTCCTGCCCGGCTCTGGTTTGGACAACCACATGACTTTCCTGATTATTCCTTCCCTTCTGCTCCAAAGAAGCCTTCTAAACAAGGGTGTGGAGACTCTAGCCACCTCCTCAGGTCCTCCCCACCCCTTCTAGTAACTGAATTCTGTTTGTCTAGAAGGAGACCTCCCCATTTCCCAGGGTCCTGCATTCAAGTCTATGCTCTGCTAGTGTGAGCCTTCCATTTTCCAAATTTTGTTTTTTCCAGTTTTAAACAATTAAACTTAAAAGATGATTCACTCCAGCTGCCACACTGGCTCATTTTTAAATGACAGATTTGCCCCAGGTGGTTCATCCATGCATTGGCACCTGCCCCAACCAGGTGCCCTTTCCTGACTGCTTCGTTGGGACCCAAGGCCTGGCAAACAGGGCTGGGACTTCACAGTGGTTGCTCCCTTGAAGTCCCTTGTACCCGAGGCCAGGGTCTCTGCCTGCTGAGAGCTCTATAATGGACTCTCAGACCCCTGACCTGCTTCCTTGGTCCGGATTCTGCTGGAGGGCCCACTGGGCTCGCCGGTACCCAGGATGTTGCTGGCTAAGACCCGGAACTCGTAGTCCATCCAGGGTGTGAGGCCCAGCACCTGGGCAGTCTCGGCGTTGCCCTCAATGTTGGCAGGATCTGTAAGGCACGGGGCATCACAGGGCAGCATGCATTTATTCTTCTGCCTGTAGCTGGCAGGCATTGCTGGAAACTCCTCTTGGTACCCAGCCCTTGCTGTGGAGTGGGCCATCTACTAAACACTCAGCACCTCTTTCAGAAATGATTGAGAAATGAGTAAACACCACTGCCTTGGTGCCCAAGCCAATGCTGTGCGCACCCCACACCCCTGACTCTTTCCCCGCCTCCAGTGATAACCCTCCCAAGTCTCAAGGCACCCCCCGAGCACCTCTCTCTGCCCTCTCAGCACTTTCACATCTGTGAGTCTCTCCTGCTGGCTCAGTGTGAACCGTGTCCCTCTTGCAGCTCCAGGCTCGGCCCTGTCCTCGGACCCCTCCCACAGCCTTCTCACTTCTGAGAGCTGGGGCCTCACACTTACTGGTCCGGACCTGCTTCCATTTCCCCGCAGGTGGGGTGCGGGCTTGCAGGGTGTACTTGGCAATGGGGCTGTGGTTGTCAAAGCCACGGCTCCAGCTAAGCTGGACAGTAGTGTCACTGATGTCCCTCACTACCACGCCTCCCGGGGGACCTGGCGGACCTGTACCCAGAAGCAGAGAGGAATGGGTCAGAAATGGGCAGCTTTCAACTTGATTCAACCGCTATTTGGGCTGGTGCAGTACCAAAATAGGGCAGCAGAGAGCGCTGCAAACACACCCTGGGAGAGGGGATCACAGTGGGTGTGGAGGGAGGGACGTGTCTCAGGTTTGGGCGCCCCCAGTGGCCGCTCTTACGGAGGAACGGGCCGCAGAGCTCTTCAAGCGCTAAGCTTGAAAACTAAGCTCAGCCACACTGTTTTGGGATGTTCAAGTACTTTTTTTCAGTACTAGAGGATTGAACTCAGGATCTTTGCATTGAGCCCTGGGCTCCATTTTAGTTTTTTATTTTGAGACAGGGCCTCACTAAGGCACCTCGGTCAGGCTTGGGTTTGCAGTTCTGCCTCCGCCTCCCACAGTGCTGGGGTTACAAGTGTGCAACACCATGCCTGGCTTGGGTGGATTGTTTTTCTTTAAACTTGACTTTGGAAGAAAACACGCCAGGCACTTAAGGTCTGAAAAGAGCCCACAGGTACTAATGTAGTGGCTGTGTCCAGCTGCGGGGACTTCTGTCCCAAACTTTCCCCACTGCTTTCAGGACGGGGAGCACAGCTGGGGCGAGCAAGTCAGGACAGTGCAGCTGGCCACAAAGGGAGTAAGGACAGGGACAGGCGAGGAACCACATCACCTCGGACCAGGACAGTGGCCTCTTTCGATGCACTGTCTACCACCGTCTGAGCCATGCATGTGTACTTCCCTCCATGGCGCAGCTGGGCATTCAGGATCATCAGGTCCCCGACAGTTTCCTTCTGTACAAAGGGGTCAGCGGGTCAGAGAAAGTAGCCCAGTGGGCATGAGACAGGGCAGAGCTCAGGAGTCTCCTGCTCTTTGCTATCTGTGGCCCCTTGAATCTCAGCTCTCCTTTCTGGCCAGTGGGAGGAAGCTCCCACTTAATACCTCCAGGGACTGAGCAGCCAGGTGCGTCCCAGAACAGGCAGGGACACCTGAGTCAGTACTGTGCTTTGCACTGGAGGGTGAGAGGGCCTCTCCGGTGCTCAGAACTGGAAGTTCATCTCTAACCCTCTCCTGAATGCATGGTCTTTGGCAGGGTCTAGGAAGGCCGATCATCAGTCCAAGGGGGAGCTTACGGTGGAGGGGCTTTGGGTAGCATGACTGAGGACACAGTGAGTCCCCTGCCTGTTTGGAAGGAGGGAAGGTCCTCACCACACTGGCCCTCCGATAGTGCCCCCCAGGCTTATCAAAGTTGATGGGGAAGTCATCCAGGGTCCAGGTGAAGGTGAGGTCCATGGTGGGGTCGTGGGAGGCATGGCATTGCAGGGTCAGATTGTCGCCCAGGTTGATGTCAGCACTGGAGGGGGCCAGAGTGATCTTGGTTGCATCTGCAAAAAAATCAAAAACAAGAATGGAAAACAAAGCCTCTGGGTGGTGGGCAGGAGGAGAAAGCTCAGAACATAGTAGGACAAGAGGCTCTGGCCTGGACCGCAGGACAGGTGTCCTGACCCTCAGCCTCCCTGGGAGCGTAGGCTGGGAAGCAAGGCAGGGCCAGACTGGAGAGGGGCAAGGGTACGGTCCCGAGCGATCCTGAATCCAGGGTGACTCAGAACGAGAGCAGGACAGCAGGGAGGGCAGTGCCTGCTGGTGGAGGCCCCAGCTTACCACGCACAGACAGGACCCCGGTGCTGTTGGCTTTGCCCATGAAGTTCTCAGCAAAGCAGGTGTATTTGCCTTCATCAGAGCGACTGATGTTCCTTATGATCAAGGTGCCACCTGGAGTCACCGTCACCCTGCAGTAAGGACAGAGCAGTCTGGCTCACCCAGGGACACGCCGTCATCATGGCACCAAGAGACCAGCAAGAGGGGCACGGGCAGCCCAGGGAGGGGGCGGGTGGCACCTGCTGCTGTTGACCAGAATCTCAGTGCCTTTGCTCCAGAGCACTGTGGCCTTGGGTGCCGCCCGTGGCTGGCAGGCGATACTGATCTCTCCCCCTCGAGCCGCCGGGATCAGACGCCTGACGGGGTTCTGCCTGAAGTCAGGGGCCAGTGCTGGAAAGAAAGGGGACCGCCGCTCATGGAGTGGCAGCAGCGCCCATTATCCTGGATGGCAATGTCCTGGGGCCATGTGCTAAGCGCGGTAAGTAGACCAGAGACCAGTGAGCCCCGCACCCACAGCACCTCCAGACGGCGAGCCCCCACTCAGCACCCCACTGCCGTCGCTGCTCCTGGCCACTGCATCGCCTGCCCGGAGGGTGATGATGATGTTGATTTTTTTTGAGGCAGGCTCTTGCTATGTAGTCCAGACTGGCCTTGAGCTCACAGTGATGCTCCTACCTCAGTCTCCCAAGTGCTGGGATCACAGGTGTGTGCATCACCATGCCTGGCCTGCCTGGATGATGGAAACATCTCCCTACTTGTGTTTTTCTTCTACAATCTCATTCTATCCAGCAGCTTGGAGCCTTTTAAAAAGTATGAATCAAAATGAAGTCCAAGTCCCGGCAGGGCCTCACACATGAGCCCCATGCCTCTCCCATCACAAACTGCTCCACTCTCTCCTCACTCATTTTCTTCTAACCATCTGGATTTTGTTGTTCTTTGAAGTTGCTGAGGTTTTTTCCTGCCTCAGGACCTTTGCACTTGATATCAAATTTGCCAAGAAATTCCCCAGACAGTCACAAGGCTGGTTTCCTAACACTCAACTTACAGATGTGAGAAGTCTTTCCTGAGCACCGTATCTAACTACTCACCTCACTACCTTCACACTACTGAATTTTTGTTATGCTGCCTTTTTGTGGCTAACAAAAATTATTTATGTGATTTTGTGTTTGTTTGTCCCTCTCCCTTTGCTGGATTGAAAGCTACCTGAAGGTAGAGTTGTGGTCTTTTGTTTCTGTTCTCTAGGAAGTGTTAAATAAGTATTGGTTGAATGAATGAATGAATGAATGAATGAATCTTAATGAGGTCTTACTGTAATTTAAAAATAGGGCTGGGGACTTAGCTCAGTGGCATAAGTGCCTGCCTGGCAGGTGCCAGGTCATGAGTTCAATTCCCAGTACCAAAAAAGAAACAAAACAAAAGAGTGATACTAACAATATACTCATACTCTTTTACAGATGGGGAAACTGAGGTTCAACAGCCTTGAGTTATACAACTAAAGATTAGCATTTGCTGCCATACAAAGAACAGGCCCTTGATGCCTGCCCTCTCTCATGTCACTCCTTGTGGTGGCAGGAGGCAGACAGGGTGATTACTCCTCATGTTTTATCAATTGAGGAACTGAGACAGGGAAAGTCAGTAACTGGTCAAAGGTCAAGTGCATGGGCTGAGTGGGAGACCCTGTCCCCAGGGAGCTCACCTCCTTCTTGAGCTTTCTCAGTTCCTCACAGAGGCAGCTGGCAAGCCAAGGGAACCTAGCCGTGAGTGTGCATGTGTGAGTGCCTGAGTGTGCACACACCTGCATGTGTGCTGTTAGAGACGCTGAAACTCAGAACTCACTGCCCCTCCTGCGGGCCCCTCCCCAGGCCCTGTACCTTGCACAGCCAACTCGGCGCTGGCATAGATGGTGCCATGCTTGTTTTCTGCCACACACTGGTACATGCCTGAGTCTTCCAGGCTCAGTTTGGAGAACCGCAGGTCCCCGGCCAACACCTCCACCCGGTTCTGTGCAGAACAGCCCAGCCCAGGGCAGGGCGGGGAAGAGCAGGGCTGGAGTCAGGCTCAGGTAAGGACAGGGAGCAGGACCCCTAGAGCCTCAGTCTAGAGATTATCAGGCCTCCCCAAGGACAGAGGGGCCAGAGGACCCACTGAGGACCACGCCCTGTTTGGTCTCTGGGGTTCTATCTAGTTGACCAACTGTGGCCATGTGACTCCGATGGAAAAGAGCACCCAGATCCACCCTGTGACACCCCACTGACCCAGAGAGGCTGGGGCGGCCTAGGGAACCAGCTCAACAGAGGAGGGGGTTGTGTAGTAGGAGGTCCCAGGGGTTACCTGGGAGGCCAGGGGCTCCCCGTTCCGCAGCCAGCGCACAGTGGGCCGGGGCTTGCCAGCGGCCGCGCATCCCCAACGCAGGTTGGCACCTATGTCGGCCTCCGTGTCTGAGATCACCTTGAGCCACTCAGGCTGAGCTGTAGGAGCAAGGAGAGGAATCGAGGGATGCTCACAGAATGGAAATAATCACAAGGCTGCAGTAGTTGTTCCAGACAGCAGAGGGCCCCGCCTGCATCCTGGGATGGAGAAGACAAAGGGGAAAAAGCGGCCAGGAAAGAGGAAAGTTGCGGTCTGATTGTCCCAGAGGCTGCTTGAGTGACTGAAGTCGCCTTGAAGCCTCCTGTGTGCCTTCTGCACCCCCGGTTCTGAGCTGGCCACAGCAGCAGCTGCTTTGATCTCATAACCCGGGGGAGGGGGGATCCCTGGGGGAAGAAGGGTCCTCCTACTTTGGGGGCTTCCCAGGAGCGAGGCAGGCCCGGGGTCCCGCCCTGTACCCTGCACGATGATGCGGCCCTGGACGGTGTCGCGGCCTTTGGAGTTCTCTGCCTCACACTCATAGGTGCCCTCATCCTCGAAGCTCACACTTGGAATCTGCAGGGTGGGCTCGGCGGTGGCCCACTGTGGGGACAAGGAGCCGTCCACTTTGCGCCACTTGATCATGGGGACTGGGCTGGCAGGGATGACACAGAGGGGCGGATTGAGCTGGCGCTGCTCAGGCATACAGGACTGCTGGTACCCAGACTCCTAGGCTGTCTGGGGTTGCTGGGCAGCTGGACAGGGGACCGCAGACCTGGGAGAGGACAAGGCACCCCGGGGGCCCGATTCTCACACTGTTTCTCAAGGCCCAAGTGCAAAAAAAGAACAAGAGACGGGCTCCTGGCTTGCTCTGTCCTCTGCCTCAGCCATGAAGCCAACAAACCTGGCCAGCCCTGAGGCTGGGTTGCCCTCCCCACACTGTGGCCTGTGACTTGTGTCTGTAGGACTCCCCTGCCCTTCCACTCCACGTTTGAAAGACTCTTTAGCTATTAGTAATCTGTGCATTAAAATGAACTGCAAATTAGTGGGGGGGTTTGTTTGTTTGTTTTGGTCCTGGGGATCTAATCTAGGGATGCTACCTCCTCCAGCCCTTTATTTTTTTTTTTTTTAAGTTTTGTTTTATTTTATTGTTTTTGATTTTGAGGCAATGTCTCACTAAGTTGACCAGACTGAGCTGGAATCTGTGATCCTCCTGTCTCAACTCCTTAAGTGCTGAGATAACAGGGGCAAGCCCCAGTGCCCAATTAGGAATCAGAGAATCTTAAAGGGCCAATATTGCCCTCCCATGTGCTTTTCATAGTTTTTTGGAGGCATAATAGTTTTTCACAAAGCAGCAGCCCCATATTCAAGGAATGAAAGGACCAAAGTACAAGTCACACTTTTTTCATTTATCCCACAGACATTTATTTAGCATCTGCTATTGCTTAGTCTAATTCTAGTGACTCTTTGGAAGACACAGTCATGGTTAAAAAAAAAAATAATTCTAGTGATTCCTTTTTCTGGGAGAACAAGAAAAATAGCACTTTCTGTTATAATTTTTAAAATAGATAGCTGTTAGCATTCATAGAATATTTAATAAATGCCAGGCACTGTTTTAAGGACAATATGTATATTAACTCATTTAACCCACACGAGGATGCTATTATTATCCTACTACTACCCTCATCTACAAACGAGGAAACTGAGGCACAGAGAAGTTAGGTAGTTAGGTGGTTAGGTCTCCTAGTCAGCAAGTGGCAGATGTGGGATTTGAACTGGGCAGTCTGGGTTGGGGCCCACACTAGCCTTCAGCCTGGGTGTTTTTCTTTCTTTCTTTTTTTTTGTCTTTTTCGTTTTTATCGGTACCAGGGATCGAACTCATGACTACCTGCTTGCAAGGCAGGTGCTTTATGCCACTGAGCTAAATCCCCAGCCCCCCAGCCTGGGTGTTTTTCAAACTGCCTCTGAGCCTACCTGCGTGGCAGGAGGACCACGTGACACATATGCATAAGACCCCTGGTGAAAGGTACCTCATCTTCAGGGAGTGTCCAGCACCCATAGGCCCTGCGAAGGGCCAAGGTGACTGTGCATGACCTTGCCCACCCTTACCCTATGTCCCTGGGAAGCTGTGTCTTGCCCTGGGAACCCGCACCCCCATCACTTACTTCCCAAAGGCAAAGCATTCCAGGGTGACCTGCTGTCCCACCAGTGCATAGGTCTCTGCAGGGAACCGGGCCTTGATGCTGGGTGCAAAAAGCCGGGGATCTGGGGAGAGAAGGGCCTTGCAAATCACATGCGGTGACTCCAGGGAGGCGTGGCTCTGGTGCTCAGGATTTCAGAACCACAGCGCTTGTTGGAGCTTGTGCTGCTGCGCAGTCGGGTGGGATCTCAGGAGTCTCTCATGCCTATTCTTGGGCCAGGCACAGGGTCCAAGGCCTGTCTGCAGGAGGCCCAGGGTGCCATGCCCTGTGAGCTGCTCCTAACCATTACCAAGGGGAATCCCGTTTTCCCACCCCTCCTGCCATGCTCGCCCAGAGACCCTGACCTTCTGCAGCCAGGTTAAGCTGTGCGAATTTGCTGAAGACACTCTTGGTGGAGAAGTCCATGTGGCTTGTGGCCAGGCAGGAGTAGTTGCCCAGGTCAGAGGCATTGGTCCGGGCAATGTATAGGTTCCCTGTGGTCTGGGACACGAAGTGACGCCCATCCGTCGGGATGAAGTTGGGGAACTCGTTGAGGAGCCAGCGATAGGACAAGCCTAGGATGTGAGGAGTTTGAGGAAACCAGGGAATTCTGGTTTCGGGGTGATTTGAGTGGGAACCCAACAGATTGGCAGTGATCTTTGAATCTTGCCCTGAGTCCCCAAGCTCTGGGCTGGGAGTTCGGGGAGATGGGACTCTAATCTGCTCTCAGGGATAGTTGGTTGCTTGGGACCTACAAGCAGGGCAGCTAGAATATGGCAGACACACAACAGAAACAGGTCACCTGCCTGCCTACTCCATCTTTCTTCCACTGAGTGTCCAGAAGCCTTTCCCATGTCCCCCGTCCCCAGGGTCCCCACTCACCTGGGTAGTGGGCGGGTGGGTTACAGGGCAACATCACCCCCCAGCCTTCGTGGGCTTTCACTGGGTCTCGCTCTTCTTTGGAGAACTCCTGCAGAACTGGGAACGGAGACAGGGCTTAGGCACTGTCTTCTGGGCCTGGTCTCTTCCTCATCTCATGCTCCACAGGGAAGCCATTAGTTCATTAGTTAGGGTGGGAAAGCCTAGCCTGAGGGTGTCCCTGGTCCTTGCATGCATGGTTCCTGCCCTCTCTTGCCCTCCCTCCAGTGTCTTGGCCCCGCCCTGAGTCTCACAGCCGAAGCGGAGGACAGCCTCCCTGCTGACCACAGTGCCCACTGGGTTTGAGGCCAGGCACTGGTAGACACCGGCATCCTGGGCTTTCGTGGGGTTTATGATGACCAGGTTGCCCCCCACCAACTGGTGACGGGAATCTGGTTCCAGCTTCATCTCTGTGCCATTCATCTTCCACCTGCCACAGAAGACAGAGGGAACCTCAGCCCTGGGTGGCAGGGCTGACATGAAGGAAAACCATGACCTCTGAGGGCCTCCCAGTGCCCACTGCAGGGGCCTTACCTGTAGGTGGCAGGAGGGCTGGCGCGGGCCCGGCATGCCAGTGTCACCTGCTCCTCTGTGGACTCCTCTGGGAACAGCAGGCCGAGAGGCTGGTCTTCAAAGACAGGCCCAAAAGTGGCTGAAGTTACCTGGGCCAGACTCCAAGCTGCAGAAGGGGACACCCCCAGAGTCCTCAGGGCCTAGGGCTAGCTGGAGCCTGGCCTCTGGGGCTGTGCCATCCAGCAACAGTCTCGAGATAATGGGAATATTCCATTTTCTCTGCTGTCTAATATGGCAGCTCCATGCCACCTGTGGCTGTTGAGAACCCGAAATGTGGCTACTATGGAACCGAGTTTTTAATATAATTTAATCTTAATTAACTTAAAATTGAATTTAAATAGACTGAGCTGGGCAGGCCCCATCTGGTGGGGTTGGCACAGTTGATCACCCACAGTCCCCTCAGGTACCAAGCACTTGCTATATACAAAACCTTGGGCTGTGAAATGAAGCAGACTTAGACCCTCTCCCTGAGGGAGCCTGAAGATTGGGAATAGATAGAAAACTGACAGTACAAGGTGTTATATGACATAATAATGGTTTAGGCCCAAGGTGCTGGGAAGCAGTTATTACACCCTGGGAGACTGAGGTGGGCCTGGTAGCTCAGGCCTGCAGTCCCAGTTTCTTGGGAGGCTGAGGCAAAAAGATCCCAAGTTTGAAGCCAGGCTGGGTGACTTAGCAAGACTTGTCTCAAAATAAAAAGTAAAAATAAAATAAAATAAAATAAAAATAAAAAGTAAAAGGACTAGGGGATTGAACTTAGTGCTAGAGCACTTGCCTAGCATGGGTTGGATACTCAGTATTGCAGAAACAGAAGGGGGAGTGAGGCTGTGTGTCCCTGGAATCTATGTCATTTGGGGGCCATGCGGTGCAGTGCAGAATGCTCTGGTTGGAGGCTAGGCTGCGGCTCGGAGGACAAGTTATGGTAGCCCAGCCAGAGTGACTTCACCTGTGAAACGAAGCCAGTACAAATGTACCTCCCGGGCCCCGTGGGAGGACTCAGCCAGAACCCTGCTAAGGTAGCAGGTGCAAATGCCTGCTGGTCCTGCATGTGGGCAAGTGGGGGCTGGGGGAGAAGGAAGGACTGATGGCAGGTGGATGGTGGGCAGTTTGATTGGTGGCAGTTTTATAAAATCCCAGTGTCACAACTCAAAAGAGGCTCAGAGAAGAGAATGACTTGCCTGCCACAGTCATACACAAGCAAGCCTGTGACACAGACGGGACTAGACCTCATGAAACTGTAGAACAGATGGCCATCAAACGCGAAGATGGAGTTGGCATGGCAGCCCCATCCTGGGTCGATGCTCTCTCTCTCAGTACCACTGTCGGGCCTCACCAGTATGGGGGACAGTGCCTCATGCTCCTTCTACAAGACGGGGCCAATTGGACTGGCCACTGTGGTGTGAGGGGGGAGCCAGCTCCCTAATTGGCCCCTGTGCAGCTGACTTCAGCCTTCCTTGGTGGTTCACAGAGGGGAGGGACCCCCATTAACCAATTAGTGCCTCCTTTCTGGGTGCATCCAGCTGTCAACCTCTTCCAAGGCTGGGCCCAATGCTGCAGCTGAGGCCTAGGCTGGCCCCCGGGGGGTGGGGACAGCTGTTCAGCAGCTCTCAGAATGAGGAAGGGGGCAGGGCTCCCAGGAAGCACTGATGCAGGCGTCCCGCCCCCTTCCCACCATGTTGACCATCCCTCTCCCTCACTGCCGCCCTGGGCCTTGCTCTGGCTCGGAGAGGGCCACAGCATCTCTCCGCTGGAAAGCCCAGTTTAATCCCTAGTTAATGATGGTGGTGGAGGGTAGGGATCCCTGCTCCAGCTGGGACCAACGGGAGGGGAGGGAGGGAAAGATGGGAGGCAGCCAGGATGCTGGAAGCATGTTGGACAATAGCAGCTCCCAGGAGCTCCGGCTGGGTGGTGGTGGCAGCTGAGGGGCCCAGGCACCCGGAGGCTTGAGATGTCTTTCTTCCTGTAAAACCTTTTTCTTCTGCACTCAGCCACATGCACACCCTTATGCTCACTGAAATACTCACGTGCACGCCACATTGCTCACCTGCACAGTCTTGTCACACATACACTCATACATAATATACACGTGCTTCTCTGAGCTCCTCACATGGCCAGAGCCATACATGAGCGGCAGCACCTGGCCATGCAGGCTTATTTATATATGTGTGTGATTCCACATGTAGGTGTATTTATTAGTAACAAATACATACATTCAAGAAATAATACAATTAGGTGTTATGGGTCAATCCCTTGCTATTTATCAAGCACCCCACTCTCATATTTCCTTTGTATAAGCTCTGAGGAGTAGGATGGGCTCTACATTTTCTTATTATACCAGTGTGGAAACTGAGAGTGAGAAAGGTTTAATAATTTGCCCCACACAGCAAGAAGCAGATCAGGAGATTTTTGTTCTTTGGCAACATTTTTTTCCTCCTTTCCACTCTCCCCTTTCTCTTCTTTCCCTTCCCTTCCCTCCTTCCCTCTCTCCTTTCTTTTTGTGATACTGGGGACTGAACCCAGGGCCTTCTCACTAGGCTGCATTCCCATCCCTTTTTAATATTTTATTCTGAGACAGGATCTCACTGAGTCTCGAAATTCCTCAGCCCGGGCTTGAGCTTGCTATCACCCTACCCCGGTCTCCCAGAGTGCTGGGATTACACGCCTGTACTCCCACATCATGGTGCCTGGGATTCTTGGCCCCAGTTTTCCATCAGAACCATCAAGGGCCCTATTCCATCCCAGAGGTCAAGAATCAGTCAGAGCGGCTCCTGGCATCTGTCCGGGTGGTGGCGGTGGTGGCTGAGTGGGCCAGGGCTGTACAGAAGGCCTTGTGCACCCTGAAGAGTGACCACGGAGAGCCCAGATCTGTTAGGAGGCTCCCAGACACCTCCAAAACATGGTGCCCCTCCATGTTGCACCCCACTTATGCCTCCAGCCTCACAGCATCCACGTCCACACACCCCGCTTTCCTCCATAGCTGCGTACACACCCACCCACATGTGCAGCCTTCCACATAGTTGTGCTTGCACACACCCGCATACACACACACTCACTCCCAGGCAAAGCCAGCTCTCCCTGCTGTCCCTGTTCCCTGGCTCACAGCCTCACTCTTATTTCCCTGTCCTGGTAACTCTTTGTTCAGATCCAGGCACCGGGAGCCCTGCAGGAAAAGGGCTTGGAGGGCTGAGCAGGGAGGAGGCGTCTCACTGATCTCCCTGCTTTTGCTTGATTGGGGCACCAGAAACCCAGAGCTACCCCAAGAGCAGGGCAGCTGAGGACTCAGACGCCTTCTTGGCAGGGTGGGGCCCAGTTAGGACTTTTGCTATCTCTCTCTTTCCCCCCACCTCTCTCTTCTCTCTGTCTCTGTCTGTCTGTCTGTCTCTTTCTCATAAAAGTGCAGGTACTGACCCCTTAGCAATGGGCACCTGGATTACACCCACATTCCATGCTTAGGACAGAGCAGGTCCAGCACCAAATTGAGGCACCTCTTTTCTGGCCTGTGTGGTCTGATGTCTTCTGTTCTGTGCAGTCCGGGCTCCCACACTCAGGACTGGGAGGCAGTGAGGACATAATGAGAACATCTGAAAGTGTGCTGGTGACATGAGGGGCCAAAGCACCCTGGCTTGACGTTGCGGGTGCTATGATGGGAAGTATAGTCTGAGCCCTGAGAACCCCAGGATGGTAGAGGGTACGTACTAAGTGTTAAGGGTTATGTATAGATGCCCCCCCAAAGCCTCATGTGCTCATAGGGCTTTTTCAGTGGCATCTGGATCTAGAGTGTGTGATGCTGGGATTAAAGGTTGTATGATTAGTAAATCAGTGCATTGATGGGTTGGCTGGCATTAAGAATGTGAGTGCTACACCTACCCTAGGACAGGTAGCCTGCCTACAATATAAGGGACAGGAAGAATCTAGTCTCTGAACCTTTTCTCTTTTGCTATTTTATGGCCACCATGAACTGTTGCCCCTCATCTATGTGCCACCCTGCCTTGGAGTCAGCCAATTAATGGCTGAATCCTCTGCAAACCATGGGCTAAATAAACAGTTTTCCTTTAACTTGGGATGTTGGGTATTTGTCTTAGCAACAAAAAAAGTAACCAAGACACTGGGGTGTTGGGCTCCTTGCTATGGACGTTTTGGGGAGAGAAGAAATACTTGCTTGGCCTAGCAGGGAATAGGGTTGGCAGAGCAGTGCAGAGGGCCAGCAGTGGCCCCCAGCCCTGAGCAGCAGGCCCTGGACACCTCCCCAGCTCTAGCAGGGTGGATCTCAGTCCTGCGTTATCTCCCTCCCTCCTCTGGCCTCTCCCCTCCTCCAAGCTGAGCACTGAGCCCCTCTGCTCCTGCCATTGGTGTCTCTGCAGGGACACCTGAAGGGAACCTGCCAGAGATCTGGGTTGTTATCGTTGTCTCCTGTGCCAGAGACTCTGGAGCAATCCAAGGTTATTACTGGGACCTGAAGTAAGCTGGAGACTTCACTGTTGAAGTGAACTAACCTTAGCTTTGTAGTCCTGTGGGGGACAGAAAGACCTTAGGGTTCCAGTTCCAGGGGCTGGGGTCTTTGCACAGTGGTAGTGCACTTGCCTACCATGTTGCAAGGCCCAGGCTTTGACCCCCCAGTATCACAAAGCACAAAAACAAAAATAGGTACAGCTCCAAGCTGAGAGAGTGAAGATCTGTTTGTGCTATAATCTTGATGTGTGACCCAGAGTAAGACACTTGCCCTCTCTGGGTCATTCTTTTATCTACCATGTCACGAAGATTTGTTTCCTCTTCTAACCTTCAAGGTCAGGTAAGATCCACAAATGGGAAATTTTTAGTAATGACATGAAGGCAATTATTTGCATAATCACCACCAATTCATAGGAATGATTTGACAATATAACTATCCCTTCAGAGTCCACATGAGCCCTCTTACCTGGAGTGGAGATGAGGACCATGGTGAGCAGCAGCAGCAGCAGGTGTGGCTTTGTCCTGGGGGTTGTCCCCATGGTGGGCTGTCCAGGTGGTGCAGACTGTGAAGAGAGGAGCCTTAGGCCAGCTGGAGATGCACTGGACTGGAGGCCGAGGAGCACCTGGGAAGAGACGGCGCTCGGAGTGAGGGTGAGGCTGCCCCTCCAGCCAGGGCCTGTCTGCTCGGTGATCTCTTACTGGTGGCCCTGGAATCTCGAAGGCACTCATCCTTCTGGACCCCAGGGGAAGGGGCTTGGCTATTAGCAAGGAGCTCTTCCCCGGCTGAGTGCCTCCTACTGCCCTCCTGGGAGTCTGGGTCTGCCCTGCTTCCCGGCTGCCCCCGCCAGCCAGGAGGGTGTGGCTAAGGAAGTGGAAGCTGGGCCTAACTGGAAGGCAAGACTCTTCCTGTCTGCTCATGGTAATTGTTCTAGATGTGGGGTCCAGAGAAGAAAGGGGCCTGTGCCTGGGTTGAGGACCAGTGACATCATCTCAGGCTACTGGGGTTCAGGGCAGACTCCTCCCTTCACCTGTCTCCCACGGTCCCCTGGGGGGGGGGTTAAATGGTGCCTCTGGGAGCTGTATTAATTCTCCTGGAGTCACCTCACTTTTCTAGCAGTGAGAAGTGAGTCTCATGATTTATCCACAATCTTTGGCCAGAGTCCTCAGGTAAGGCATTTAAATGCTTGGCACGATGGAGTCCTGATCTTGTCCCCATTAGCCATACTTGGACCAGATAGGCTAATGACCCAGCAGACAGACCTTCTAGGCTGAAGGTTAGTGCAGTCCCCAAAGAAGCCTCCCTCTTTCAGTGCAGCAGAGGCCTGGTTAGACCCAGAGTTCCCAAAGCCTGCATCCTGTCTGTGAAGGGACTGGGATGGACAGAGCGCGGGATGTTCCACGCCTCCTGAACACTACCTCAGAAAGAGCTCCGCAGGGACAGGGCACCACCTGTGACCTCTGTCACTTCCTCAACAGCACAGCTGGCACATGCAGGAGCTGGGAGTGGGTGCAGAAAGGGCCTCAGGGCCTACTGGGAAGGAGGTGGCAAGGGAGGCTGAGGGGAGCCGAGAAGCGGGGAGTCAGGGTGGCAGTGATGAACAGATGGCTGTCCCTCTCCACCGAGACTCCAGCTCATGTGCTTGGAATGGCGCCCCAGGTCACCTCTCCTAATGACCTGCTCCTCCCTTGCCATTGTCACTCCCAGACTTGGTGCTCCCAGCCCCTGCGAGCCCCCCCCCCCCCCGCCTCCTTCCCTTGTGATACCCTTCCTAGGAAGAGCAACCTCCCCTGCAAGGCCCTGTTCATAGCTCACCCCTGCCAGGGAATGCCAAACACGTGCTCATATGCACACAGTTAGAATTCAGCTCTGATCTGTTGAGTTTTTGTTTGGTTTGTTTGTTTGTTTGTTTTTAATCTTAGACAAGGTCTCCCTGAGTTGCTCAGACTGGCTTCCAACTTGCAATCCTCCTGTCTCAGCCCCCTCCAGGGGATCACATGGGTATGCCAACACCTCCAGCTTCTAGGTCTGATCTTGATGATACTTGGTGACCTGCCCATGAAGTGGATGTCTCCTCTAGAAGGCTGTGATTTCCCCAAGGGGAGAGACCATGCCTCGTACATCTTGGTATCTCTATTTCTAGCAGTGCCTGGCACAGAAGAAGTGTTACTTGTGTGCCACATTTAACTGATTGAGAACATCTGTGGTTCTATGCTCCAGAAGATGGTAGGTGTGTGCATGTACACACACACACACACACACACACACACACACACACACACACACTCAGGTCCCTAGGGTCAGCAGGAACATCTCAAAATTATGCCCCCAGATGCCACACAGTTGCAGGAGTCCTTGAAATAGGGAGGTGTGGGGAAGGATGGAAATTTCTAGGGTCCAGACGGATAAGGATGGGTAAGGTGACCTCAATGCTTCACAGCTCTGGGAGCTTGGACAAGTTTGTGTCCCTGCAGTCTTGGTTTCTCTTATCTGCCATGCAAAGGTTATAAAGTGCCCATGGGAGTGGAGCCCTGGAATACAGCTCAAGCTGCTGTGAGGCCTGTGGCTGCTCAGACCTGTTCTGGGGTCACAGCTGGGAGGCAGGGAGAGAGGACTAGATTCCAAGCCCCTCCCAACTGCTGCGGGAGCACCTCCACCTATCTCCACTGCATCTACTGGACTTTGCAGGAGGCTGCCTGATAGAGAATCTCTCCAAAGAGCTTGAAAACCACCCTGTTAGCACTGATGTGCCATAGACTGGTCCCTGGCACAAAGAAGGCGCTCCATCATCATTCACTCCAGCCCTCTGTCAGTCTGTCAGTGCGGGGAGCTCCATGCAAAGCAAGGGCTGGCCTGGGAGGAGCCTGGGCAGCAGGCACTTTTCCCTAATGTGCCAGAGCAAGGTGGAGATGAACATCACAATGATCACCTCCATCCTGCAGTGATCACAATTGTCCACTGTTTCTATCACCATAGATAATTATCATGAATCATAGATAATCCAATCCCAGCTCATCTTAGACTTCACTTTAATCCAGACTTTTAGCAACCATCTCCTCGACCTGAAGGCCCTGGGGACCCCTGGGAACCAAGATCTGCATCCTTAAAGGAGATGTGTGTGGGACTGAGAAGGACCTTAGGTGGCCTTTGGGGAGCACTGAGACCAGTCAGCCTGACCAGATGTACACTGAACCAAGGCCTTGCATGAATGAACACATACAGACACATGCACACATGCACATTTACACACACATACATACATGGTGCACTTGAAGATGAGGGTGATGGCATAGGATCTTGCCCTGTATTCATTTCATTGTCACAAGCACTGACCATGTATCAGGCACCACGCTGGACACAGGGGAACTGGGGATGAAGATACACCTATGAAGGGGCTCCCTGACCAACTGCAGGTGCCATAAATGTGCTCATGAGCTCATAGAGCACTCATCTCCCCTCACCATCTGCCCTATGACACATTCTAGAATGCCCAGACTGGAGGCAGCTTTTTGTCAGGAGCAAGGCTGAGTGGAGCTATGCCAGGCTCAGAGCTACCCCCGCCCCGGGCCTGAGCTGGCCCAGCCTCACCCAGGCCAGCTGCCCTGGCACAGGGGTGCAGGCACAGACTGGCACAGTCAGGCACAGGCTGTCGCCATCAGGGAGTGGTCCTGTGAGGTTCCAGTGCATGGGGGACAGGCCACTTGGGGGCTTAGAGTCACTAGGGGAGTTGGCTGAAGTTCTGAGCTCAGGAAACAAAGGGCTGAGGACAGCTGGGGACACCAGACTGTGAGCTACACTCCGGTACATGACAGACTTCCCTGGGCTAAGGACCCTGCGTGGAGCCACTCAGAAGAGAAAAGATGCAATCCTCCAAATGCTGTCTCTTGGGATGCCAGCTCCTGGCCTTGAGTTTACCTCTCTTCCTCCAATAATGAAGATTGGAACATTAAGGGGTCTGGCAACTTTTGGAAGGGTGATGGAGGAAAAGGAGGGGTTTAGAGCCCAGTTGAGAGTAGTGATGATTCATTCCCAGCCCTTAAAGAATAGCAGGAGCTCCTGGGGTCCCCACTTTGGCATCTATCCTGTACACAGCATGGGATTTGACATAGGGCAGGAAGTCAATGGGTCTGATGTTTACTAGCTTATGTGACACTAGTATGTACCTGAGTCTCAGTCTCCCAGCTGCAAAACGAGGAGCTGGGTAGGACCAACTCGTTATGAGCTTAGAGTTGTACCTGGCCCATTGCAAGCGCTCAGAAAAGAGCAGCCTTTAGAGCTGAGGATGCCCCCAGCCTCAGGTGTCCCCAGAAACCTTGCTTATCCACAAGTCAAGCTTGTTGACACTGTCACATCACTGCTGTGTGCACACGAGCTCAGCACACTGATGCATCCAGCGTTCCCAGGCAGGTGCCTTCCTCTTCTAACATCTCCCAGATGGAAGGACCTAGGTAAACACCAGCAGCCACCTTGGGCTGCAGCACATGGACACACCCATGGGAGCATTATCCCCTGCACAGTGTGCTCGGGAGGGAACAGCGCTCCCAGGAACAATCTCTCCTTCCCAGCCCCCAACTGTCTTGCAGGAAGGAACAGCAGAGCACGGCACCCTGCCCTCTGTCTAGGATGGGGATTGCCACCTAGGATAGCACCGTCATCCTCCAGGAAGGCCTCAGTGATCCCCATGGCCCTGTGAGAGGACAGGGTTATGTGGAGGCTGGGTGGGGGCTGCCAGGTTGCTTGGTGTGTCTGGCCAGGCAGCAACTGGCCATGGGAGGAGGACTGTGGCTGCGAGGTCTCTACAATGCCCACAGCTGCTGCCCTGAGCTGGAGAGGTTCTTAGGACAGACATGGGTGACACAGGAGCCTTCTCAGCCCCCAGCAGGGGACAGAGGAGTTGTGATGCTGAGACCCTTCTCAGACCCCTTTGCACACTGCCCCTCCTGCTCCTTAGTGTCTCCACAGGCTCTTTGGATTTGCAGCTGCCTCTCTGTGGCCCCAGACTTGTGGCCTCAGCTGTGCCCTCTCAGAAACAGTGACTCTGGACCCATGCATCTGTCTGAGCATTCAGTGTGGTCATGGGGAAGTCTGGTCCTTGGCCTGCAGCTTGCAGTCTCTGACCCCCCAGTGCTGGCCTCTCCAGCAGAGATACCTCGAGAGCAGAAAGTAGAAGAGGAGAGAATTAAGTTCTCTCAGGGAAAAGTCATCCCTAACCGTTTGCTTTTCCTACCTGTTTGCCTTGTTCCATATGTGACATCAGCCAGTCAGTGAGGGCTTTCAAAGAAGGGTCTGCTCTTATTTGTGATGCTGGGGATTGATCCCTGCATCTCAAGCATGCTAGACAGATACCTGGCCACTGAGCTACACTCTCAGTCCCAGAAGGATCCCTTTTCAACATGCCAGGAGCAATGATAGTTGTTTCAAGTTGTTACAGAAGAACCAAATCAAGAAGAAAATTCCCTCACGCATCAGCACAGCAATGTCTGCCTGTCCCTCTATCTCTGCTGAGAGGAGATTCCTCTCTAGGCCCCAGTTTCCTGCAGGTGTGTTCAGGGTAGAAGCCTGGACTGTAGGGCAGGAAGGCTGCCATCCTGCTGGTTGGGGAACCCTGAGGTCTTTGGGTTGGCAGCTATGGAGATGTGAATTCTGCTGGAGGGGACCCAGAAGGCCTTGCCTGAAAGGGTGCCTCTTGAGAGGGCAGAGTTGGCTTTCACATTTGACCCAGTGGCTCCTGAGATGAGAAGGAGGCCAAGGTGCATTTGGAACTGTGTTATCCTAGGAAAGAGGGTGCTTTGGGGTTGGGGTGAGAATGTTACAGGCTTTTGCTTTTGTATGTATCTCCTTTGGTAAACAAAGAAATCAGGCATAATTCTGGAGCAAGGACTTACTAAATCACAGAAAGGGCCTCTTCACTCCGGGACACCAAATCCACAGAAGTCCCTGAAATTTTCCAAGGTAGCAACAGCCCTGGGAATTTGGTTTAAACTGGAGGAAGTGGTCCTCCGGTAGGATAAGGTCCAGCATGCAGGAGGGAATGAAATAAGGCTGTCTTAGTCCCAGTCAGGAGCGGTTTCAAAAGAGGATGACTGGAATTTACAGGGTCATCGTCACAACCTTCAGCTCTAGGGAGATTCTAACCATGGACCAGACCTCAGACCTCCACACCATCTTGAGTCAGCATCCCAAAGATTTCCTGTGGCTCATCTTCCTGCTCAGGAATTGTCACCCTCAGTCTGACCCAAATCCCTTCTGCTTCGCTGGGGTACACTTTGCCCCAGTTCTTCCTCTTTCCTGACACCCTGGTCCTGCCCCAGGAATCCAAATGCCACCCACACTTAGGCTTAGAGATTGTCGTTGGAATGCACTTTCTCACCAATGTTTGGCTTGAGAAAGTTCTAGCAGATGGCATGCATGTTCCAAGCCACTCCAAAAGGTAGAACTGATGAGCTGTGAGTGGAGGATGCTGTGGGCTGTGACCCCTGCTCCTCTGGAGCAGGTCCCATCCACAAAGACTGTGTCTGTGTTTGTGGTCTCATTGCGTACACTTACTCAGAGCCCACCCCACAGCATCTTTATTTGCACATGGGCTGGCAGAGCAGGCTGTGTGGAACTGATAAGGGGTGAGTCTGTCGGGGGAGTGGGGCAGCTGAGTGCTGAGAGCTGGAGCCCGAAGAGTCAGTGTGAGCAGGGAGGGGGCGACAGAGAGGCCAGACAGGGAGTTGGAGGAAGCAATCAGGTCAGGTGTTGCAACCCCACTCCCCACCCCTGGGGGGCATCCCCCTGCCCCTCTGCTCCCTCTGCGGGTTAGCCTGAAATAGCTGTGGTCTCCACAGAAGGAAGGCAGACCTTGGTGACTTTGACATCACCAGCTCAGGGCACCCTGGTCTGTCTGCCTCATCTCTTACCTTCCTGTTACTGGGGAGGACTCCTGGGGGACATTTGGAGGGACTTTGACCTTGTGGCAGAAGCCTTGTGAGTGAATCTTCCTGGGCTTGGCTAGGAAACAGTTAAGGGGTACCCCCACCCAGGGGCAGCCAAGGCCAGGAGAGAGGGGACTTGAGCCGACCTCCACCCCCAGGAGTCTCAACCACTCCCTCGCCTCCCACACACAGCTTATTTTTTGCTGCCCTTGATCTCCCAGGCCTCCGCAGGTCTCTTTGAGTGGGACTTAGGACCAGAGAGACTGAGGGGTGAAGGGACTGAGGGTCCCTCTGGCGGGAGGCTGGGGTGAGGGACTGGGCACTTGGGCTGTTCTTTTTCCTGCTTCCTCTTGGGCAGAGGGAAAGGTGCTCAAACCCATCCTTGCCCAGGACTCGGACTGTGGTGCATGCAGCTTGCTCCCTGTGTTCACAGTGGAATCCCAGACCTCCAGACAACCTTGACTGACAGCTCTTCCCTGGGGACACAGGCCCAGTCCCCTGCAAGAGTGGGCAGCAGGTGCCCAGTGTTGCCCAGTGCAACACAGGACACTCTCCTTGTGCAGGCCCTGCCTCAGTAGACCCCTTCACTTTCTGGACCTGTTGGAGAAGTCACAGGATTCAGCTCTGGTCACTCACATGGTCACTTGCTGATTCCCGGCCTCTGGCCCATTACATGACCATACTAGAACCTCCTGGAAAGCCAAACTTTGAGGAAATCCTTCCCCCTACCAGCAAAGCTGAGGGGGAGAGATCTGTGGAGAAGACAGGGCTGAGGGGAGGGGGGAGGGGAAGAGAAGAAACTGCAGCCCCAGTGTTCCAGGCTCTCACATCCGAGAGTGGTTTGCCTCAGTTTCTCCTTCTGGACCCCAGCTCCTGGACAGGCCTTGGCCCTAACATGTACTTTACTCTCTGCTCTCTTCCACAGCCTCCCACTCTGTCCAACTGAGGCAAGACTTTGCAAAGAGGTCACCCTGCATAGGCAGACCCCAGGTGACCTCAAATTTGAGAACCTAGGCTCCATTATCCGGGGCTTCTCGGGGGTGGTCCAGGGCCCTGGGCCTGGCCTTCCAGACCAGACTGGTATGGGACTGGGGCTCCAGGGTGGGTCCAGGCACCTCTCCCCTGTCCTCAGGCAGGTGCCACAACCAGCCGGCTGGCTGAATTCCTGGACACACTCCCAGGGGCCAGCTTCCTGGGCAGGCTTGGCCTGGAGAATGCCACCCACGTAGACAGGGCGGAAAAGATCCGGGCAGGTCCAATGGCCAGGTTGGGGCTGGGGTGAGAAGTCAGACTGGTCCCTGCCAGGTGGGCTTCCCTGCCTGCCTCTGCCTCTTCCTAAGTTACAGATGGGGTATTTAGGGGCTGGGCACGGAGTCCCTGCCTTCCCAGTGCCCAGGAAGCCACTGCAATGGAGAAACAAAAGCACTTGGCACCTACCTGCAGTGAAGGAAGGGGCTGGCCGGGCAGGTGAATGCTGCCTGGGTTGGTGAGCCGCGACGGACCCCCTGCCAGCTCTCCACCAGCTGCTTGGGCCTCTGCCCTTCCGTTGCTGGCTGTCCTGGCGCAGCGGCCACAGCGACGGCGGCGGTGGCAGTGAGGGCGCGTGTGTGTGCGCTCCCAGAGCCACTGCAGCATCTCTGCATCAAGATCTGCTCCTCCCTCTCCCAGCCTCCGCTCACTGGCTGGCTCCGGTCCTCAGCCAACGCTCGGGGCCCTGGAGATGGCTTCCTCGGCCCCCCTCCCACCCCCTTCTGTCCCCACCCTCCTGGCTCTACCTCATTTGCTGTCATTTAAGGACCAGGCAGTGAGCGCAGCGCTTGTCTTCCATAATGCATGGGCAGCTGCTGGGCTGCCGGCCGCGGGGCGCTGTCTGGTCGCCGCCCCCCTCCCAACGCATCCCGGAGCTAAGGGGCTGGAGAGGGGTGACTGAGGAGGGACAAAGAAAGTGGTTTTCGCTCTTGAAACCCTGGGGACCCCTGGAGCCCAAACTTCTTGTCTCCCCCAGGAAACCCCTGCTGGAGGGAGAGGTTCCAATCAGAAATCCCCAGTGTGCTGGAGGAAGGAGAGGGGGGCCTGTGTGCGTCCCCCCAGGCTCATCTTTGCTGTTTCCTTTACCTGAAAGCAACTCGAGCTTTTGGTCAAAATATCCAAGCCTTAAAGCAATTTAAAAATTGACAGCATAGGTCCCTTGCCCACCACACTTACCAAATTCAAACACAGTACCTGTGGTCTCCACATTTGTTATTTTCCTGTGTACAAGTTTCAGTTAGTGTTCTTTTATGAAAATGGGATCACATATCATGATTTGCAAAATATTTTAAAATTGTGTATTTGGCCTTGGATGGCCCTGCACATCAGTGCATGTGGATCTAAGCCCGTTTTTGTCAAGCAGCAATGTGATGTCCTGAACATCTCACTGGATCTAGGGTGTGAATGTCACAAGAGCTCTCTGGGCTCTGCTACTGATTGGCTGTGTGTATCTGGCTGAGCGCCTTGCCCTCTCTGAGCTCGCTGGTAACCCAAGGGGTTCAACATGGTCAAGGTCCCTGCCAGCTCTAAGATTGTGATGCATCTCACAGCGCTGGTCAGTAGCAACATCTCTCTCCTGGGCTGCTCCTGTCATTCGGGGCTGAGCCCAGGATGACGAGGGCCTGGAGGCAGAGAACCCAGCCATCTGCAACACCAGTTGGTCCTGCCAGGCTGTCACTGCTGTCTCACCCCCCTCTGGTCAGCCTGCTGTCCAGTGTGCGTGGCAAACCTGGTGGATAGTCCAGATGCAGCAACAGCTGGTAGGGCCAGCTAGCCCCTGTGTGTTAAATGCCTTACCTGTCAAGTTCCGTGTCTTTCTGAGTCAGACTGCCTAAAGAAGGAGGTGGGGGGGGGGGCCTCTACCGCCTGAGAGACTGCTCCCCTCTCATCTTCCAACTCCTCCTCCCATGGGCTTGGGCAGCTTGAGAATTCTTCTTCTTTGCTCCTGATGCTGGGCCGTCTGGTTTCGCTGAGGATCACTCTTGGATACCTTTGGATGCTGCTGTGGAAAGACAGGCTCATTAACCTCCTTCCAAGGTGGCCTTCTCTTTCCTGTCCCTGCCCTCATGGTACTGTCTGTTGGTCTGTCTGTTGCTCCGGGAGTTGGCATGCTGGCCCTGGGCTCCTGCTGAATCCTCAAATCAGCCCTGCTCTGCAGAGAGGCGCTGCATGGGCTCCCTCTGTGGAACCTGGCAGGAGTGGGGCCCTTATCTGTTACTGGGAGCATCAGGCCTGGAGATCAGCTGGAGCCAAGGGTCTGCAGACAGCTATCTGTGTGACTCTATTTTAAGACTGCAGCTGATTATGTGATGGCCAGGTCTTTGGGGAAGGCCATTAACACAGGGACTTTGGTCTCAAAGACTCAGATCCCAACGCCACCAGGCTATTCCATTCTGGGTGGACCTCAGCAGGCACAATATGTAAAAACAATAATATTCACTAAACTGGACTTCAATCTGGGAAGACAGTTCCCAGAGTTTATCTTCTCAGTGGAGCTTGATGCAGATGAGTGAGTGTGTGTGTGTGTGCGTGGGGGGGGGGGTGTTGGGGATCCTCAGTTCCAGCCTCAGAGATGCTCTTAAAACAAGAGGAGAGCATGGGGTGACTGCTTGGGGGTCCAGGCTGTGTTTTGTGGGGTTCACTAGTTTGATGACCACAGAAGTAACGCCTGTTTCGAATGTCTCTTAAACTTCAGGACCTGAAGTGCTCACCCTGGAGGTACGGGTAGTCCTCACTGTCACTGCCCACATTCTGCAGCTGACATGCAGCAGGGGTCAGGAACAGGCTCACAGTGAACAGCAAGCCAGTGGTGTGGCAGTGCTGGAGGGTCTGACACAGCTTCCCAGCTTAGCCCTGTCGGGGAGAAGTCAGCCACCCCACTGTTCCCTCCTCTGGGTGGATGGAGGGCAGGACCCTTTCTTTTTTTTCAAAGGCTGCAATCCTTGCCTTGATTGGGCTTCGGGGCAATTTTCCTCTCTGTGGTAACTCACTCCACCTCCATATTGTCCACCTTGCATCTGCAAGGTGAGTCCCAAACAGGGCAAAGAAGGGCTGGCTGAAGATGATAGGGCGGATGAGTAAACATGGGCTCAGAGGGCATTTGGAGGCCCACCCAGCCCTCCCAGGCTGTCTGCTCCTCTGCACATCAGCAGCAGTGCAGTGCAGACAGCTGGAGCTCGAAGTGGTAAACAGGGGCCTCAGGCCTAGCCCCAGGGGATGAATGGAAACAGAGGGAACACCCTGGCATGGTCTCTTTCTTCACTGGTGCCCGTCTGCACACCCTCTGCCTTGCCCTCTCTGGGCACCAACATTGCACCTCTGGTTTGGGGCGTCACAGCATTTTCCAAAACTGCTAGGAGGCCACATGTGTATGTAGCCATATCTCTGCCTAGCATGAGGAGGGATCTGAGAGCAGCAGAAAGAGGTCTGCTTTCAAAGTATTTATAACTTTTCTGGAAGCAGTCTGATAGTAGGAAGGGACCGTCCATTGGCAGCTTTCGGGAGGAGGCCTGAAGAAGCAGAAAGGGTCTTGTTCTCCATTGTGCCCTGCCTGCCCCAGGAGATGGAAGCAAAGCACTGAGACCGAGGAGCGTGGCACTCAGGCCTACCCCTGCAGAGCTCTGTGGTCAGGGTGGGTCACTCTGCTCCTCCTCCAGAATATGGGGATTGAGACGCACCCTGCCCAGCTGATGCAGCATAGAATTACATGGGAAGACCCAGCACGGCAGCTGCTCAGCTAGTGCTGGCACTTGTCCTTGGCCTTGTGGGTATTCAGCCTCCTCCTTTGTAAAATAAGGGTGTGGGCCCCTGAGGCGGAGCCACTTCAGCTCCTCCCTTTCCCAGCTGCAGCTCCCTGGGACTCTGTCCCAGCTCTGCCACTCCTACCTGGATGACACTGGGCAGGTTACTGAGTGACACTTCCACAATTCATTGCTTTGAGAAGCTATTTCTTCATCAGTAAAGTGGGAATGATCTGACTCCTACTTAGGATCGTACTGAGGATACTTGGGTTCAATATAATAATTTTTATTTATTTTCAAATCCATTTTACACAAACATAGAAGGAAAGAAAAAAAGAAAAAAACTACGATAAAAATTCAAAGTGTGTCAATCAGGGAATAACCATGGTACATACATTGTCACACACACATTGTCATCCCCAAATCATTCACCCAGAGAACAAGACATCTGCACTCAATTATCTAAACAATATCAGTATAAATCTTTCTCTTCAGCGAACTCAGAGAAGGCAGTAGTATAACTATCTTAACTCTTTTTATGTACATATACATACACATATACATTTCACACAGTAATGGAACAATACAATGTTTACGTGTGTGTGTCTTTTTATTTCACTAATGAGTATGTTCCCAAAGGTGCATCCATTTACCTATAGAAGTATCCAGTATATCATTCTTTATGTCTGAGTAGTACTCCACTGTGTAAAAGTACATCTTTTTTAATCTATTGCTCAGTTGATGGGCATTTAGGTTGTTTCTAAGACCTGGCTATTATAGACTGTGTTGATATAAATATGTGTGCACATATATCACTGTGGTATGATGTTTTTAATTCTTTTGGGAAAATAGCCAGAAGGGGAATAGCTGGGTTGAATTCTAGTTTTTTAAGGAATTTCCACACTGATTTCCACAGTGGTTGCACCAGTCTACACTCCTACCAACAATAGAGAAGGGTTCCTTTTCCCCATGGCCTCATTAGCTTTTGTTATTGGTGGATTTCCTCATAATAGCCATTCTTTCTGGGGTGAGATGAAATCTCAATGTTGTTTTAATTTGCATCTCTCTAATAGCTAGTGATGTTGAACATTTTTTACATATTAATTTACTTTTTGTATTCCTGCATCTGAGAAGTGTGTATTCATCTCAGATGCCCAGTTTTGGATTGAGTCTTTAAATCTAGAAGGACTGAATTTTTTAGTTCTTTATAGTGATACTTTGTCTGAGAGATAGCTGGCAAACAATATAATAATTTTTAAAAGAACTAGGGGCTGGGGATTTAGCTTAGCGGCATAAGCACCTTCCTTGCAAGTGTGCGGTTTTGAGTTCAATCCCTGGTACCAATAAAAATGAAAAAGACAAAATAAATAAATAAAAGAACTGTAGGTGAACTGTCTGTGAACTGTAGTGCCATGTGAAATCCAGATCATCATTTCCTGGACTCTGCAGTCTCTGGAGGCAGGGTCCTACAGTGAGGTTTGTATTTCCCAGCCCCCACCCTCCTGCTTAGCACAGAGCCTGGTCGGTGGGAAGAACCCAGGAGGTATCTGTCACCTACTAGGTGAGAGGAAGAGAGTGAGGATGGAGAGGCAGGGAATGAGCAGGTGGGTGAGGTGAGGTGAGGTACACCTTGGCTTGGGCCCAGATAGACAGAGGGGTGTGGGGAATGCAAGAGCCAGGAATGCTGGAGTCTGGGGAGAGCATGATTTGTGCAGAGTCTGGAGGAGCCACATTGATGGAGCAGGGGTGCCAGAAGGACTCTGTCTGCATTGGTCTTCCTCATTTTGCTTAAGGGCCTGGAGGGGTCTGTGGCCCGGAGGGGCCTAATTACGCTCTTTGCCATTTCAACCCAGGGCTCTTGGAGCCTTTTTTTTTCAGGCTTATAATAGACAATGCTAATGCCATTATTAATATTTAATAGTAATG